ATTGGGGTCGTAGTTGTATATTGAGTTCAATAAGAGGGATCAGATCAGAAGGGTTTGAGAAGGCTTCTGACACAACACTCACAAAAGTGATGAGGCCTCAGTCTGCAATCAAAGTATCTCTTGACCGGCTGAGTCCTTGAGGCCTGTTCAGCAGCGCAAACTGCTGATGCGTCTGTGCCGGAATCGAAAACATTGTCAGTATCTGCCTAGTTGCCTGTGAAACCAGGTATTCCATTTCACAGCTGTACTCTGCCCATTTCATATCCTGAGAGGGATGAGTGTGCTCAAATTGGACGGCTTTTATTTGCCAAAATCTTGGTGGCCAGCCCTTCACGGTCACACCCATCAATCAATGGCGAAGCGCCCAGGCTTGTACAACCCTATGCGCTTCCTGAACCGCCAGCTCCAGTCTTGACCTTCCTCCGACTTTCCATGAAACTGGGGACGCGGAACTGACGCCCTTGAGATCCGTTAGTCTGCCGACTGTTGACAGGTTTCTAATGGCCCCAGCTCTAGCCAGAGCTCTGCTACCATGAAAATCCTGAAAGACGGTGTCAGTATCAGAGACCTGCGAAAGTCAAGCAAGACACAAATCACGCTCGCAGGGATTTCAGCCAACAGCCCAGGGTTTGCATGTCTCATGATCCCAGCGGTCCTCACAGCGTTTCAGATGGACCATTTCTTCTTGCACTTCCACGCCCAACAGAAGGTTGCAACAGAGACAAGTCCCCCGAAACAAAAACTCCTTGACGAAACTTCCCAAGCTAAATAGCAGAAGAAGTCTTCGAATCGCAGTTCTTGATGCTGCAAGGACACGCCCACATTGATCATGTGTTCTGATGCCCGTTATATACTCTTTGGCAGCAGTTTCCAAAGAACGTGAAAATCTTGTGGGTTTCTGAACTTCACCTTTGCTTTTGTATGATGTTACAGCCCAAGCTGCGTGGGCTCCAGCATGCTGATTCTGTGCGCCGACCTACGCTACGACAGTTGGATGCGACAGCAGGAATGTAATTGCACATTGACAAGCACGCCATTTCGATGAATGCAGTTGTCCTCTACAACAGCAACGGGTGCAAAACGCTTGGTCCAAGATTTGCTGGATATGGGATATGCAGTCCAGCACACCCAGTTGTGCACCAGAAGACATCCTGGGAATTTTGTCTGGCATTAGCTTTGTGGAAAGCAGATGATCTTCAGAGCTGACTGGGAGTGCTTACGCATCTGCATCTCTTTTGTTTCCTCTGATGCTCTCCATCTGCATGCTACAGAAAACATCTGCACCAAGATTAACGTGAGCACCTGGCATTTCTTCCACATCTTTGACCACGTTCGTGATGAAAGCAAGGCAAGAGATCATGGTGCTTGTCAGAATTGGCGCCGCGAGCTGGACAGAAATTCTGCATTGGTTCTTCGTTGCACCTTTTTGTGACGTCTGCGGGTTTTAGCAGCATGCGCAGTCACGAGCCATCAAGTCAGTGCTTATGGTCTGAAAAATAAGATCACAACAGAACGCACTTTTTCTGTGGGCTAAGTGCTACGTATTAGCATGAGGTTGTGCCAGGGTTGCAGACGGGATGGTCTCTCGCAGTGGCCTCAAAGCCACGTCCGAAGCCCTCGAAAACGTCGGTGCTCACATGGCCGACCTCGTTGTATGAGCTGACCGCGGGATCTCCCACCCATAGTAGCTACACAATGCTGGCGCCGCACGGGACAAAGCATCTTGGCATAGCCCTCAATGCATGGGGCATGCCACAATACGCCATGTCTAACCCACGACCCCTCAAGCTACCCCTCCTGGAAGCCGCCGGAGCCTTGCAGGGGCACATGCCGTAACAGGGCAAAAGGGCCAGACCGACTGAGCCCAATGCCGTTGACAGAGAACAGGAGGATCACGTGCGGGGCGGTTCGGAATGCCTCGACAGATCTTACGTATCTCACATTTTCCTATTTTTTCCTATTCAACGACTTTCTGAAGGCATCTTCGGATTCGGAACTCCATCTGCTGCGCATGGAGCCAGGGTCTGGAGAGTGTCTGGAGAGGGAGAAAAGCGCGCCTGCCTCGTTCAGCCGCGGTTCGTTGCCACGAGGGGTTGCCCAGACCTGCACATCACGGTGCCTTCCCATCACTTTGTCTGTATGTAGGTAGGTGATTCGGCTCTGCCCAGCGCCATTTGGGGAATGGCTTGCTTGAGAATGCTCTTGTTTCTGCATGTCTTGAAGAAAAGGAATGACCAAGCCTTCGCAGCTCCCATCAAACCGATGAAATCTCTAGGTCCTCTATATGGTCGATTCGTATTACGGTCAGCAGGTGGTTTCCACTATTATGACCAGCTTCATGCCCACAATCATTCAAGGATCCCAACCTTTGAGCTGTAGACTCTCGAAATCAGCCTGCGGCCCCCTCAGGAGTGCAATGGTTCGAGACCCGGGCAATTTTACGTTAGCGAAACTCATCACGTGGCACCATCAAGACCCTGCATGGCGCTCAATTGCTCAACGTCACAGACTGGAGCATCATCTGGAAGCTGTGCTACATTGCGTTATACCTTCGTGGATTCCTTTTTGATGTGGTTTTGAAACATAACTCTGACTTCTAGCGCGTGCTTCCCTTTGTGAGCGACTGCTAGGGTGGCCTTCAGTGTTGCCGTGTAGTCGTTGGATGTCGTTGGGACGTGTCCGACTACCATTCTGCTCGGCTTGGCTGTTGAGCTCAGCGCACTTTCCCTTGCAGTCCGAAAACGGCGTCCGTGGTCTCACCACTGAATCCCTGGTCTGAACTCCTGGCGCACCCAACTCAGCTACGCAATCGATTCGCCTAGCATAGCTTAGCCGTAGCCACGTGGCCAAAGTGCAGGTGCGATGAGTACTGTAGTTGTATGTAGTTGTACTGGGCCTCGTATCCAGCTGCTGCTGGGGTCGTTGGTGTTCATCGCAGCTTGGCGAGCCGTGCGAGCCAAATGTTCAATCATCTCGCACATCCGCTCCCAGAATTGCTGTCGTGCGGTAGTCCGGTAATCATTGCTTGCATCTTGTCGTGCTGTCTGGTGATGCCCCAAGCAAAACTTATTTGAGTTGCTGTGGAAAGGGTCGATGGTCCAGTCTTCGTAGCGGTGCCCATGGTGCCCTTGTTGGAATCTGTCAAGGTCCCTGACCTATGGCATTTGGGGTATCAATACTCTACCAATCCTCCCACCAAAACAGTCCCCCTTATTGGAGCTCTGGCGAAACTGCGGAAAGCAATCAGCTCCTGAAAAGGGTTGGTCGATTTTCCGCCTCTTTCCCACCGCCCCACCGCCCCACCCCTGCCCTAACCAACAACCTTCCCTAACCATCCGGAGCCTAACGTGCCCGACCCTGACCACCCACCCACTACCCTGACCTCCCCTAGCCTAACTTACCGTAACCACCCACCATCCTACCCTGCCCATGCCAAGGTGAGGGCTTGGGGTCCATACTTGGATCAGTCAGTCAGTCAGTCGGTCATACGCCGGGCGGCGCGTGGACAGGTAAGAGTTGGCACACCGTGCAATGCCAGACATGTGATTTCTGTACAGGCTTAGCTTTCTCAAAGTGGCCCTCAAAGAATTGGAACGCTTTGTCCCTAATGCGTGACCCATTCTCGTCGTGGCCTCCCCACTCTCCTCACACATGCACTTGTAGCAGGCTGTAAACTCCCAGGAATAAATGCGCAAACGTGCAATGGGTGGTCAAGTGGAGATCTCAAAGCTTTGCCACAAAGTAGCCCGTAAACAGCAGTTCTGAAAGCCGTCCAGTCGTCGACGATCAGCAGAAGAAAGACACGAGTACATCAGCTTCGATTCGATAAGGGCTTTGTAGATTTCAATCTTCCGGAAACGGTGTATTTATGAATGCTTCCAGACTTGTCCTCCCGATTTTCCGGCCAAGCTCATGCCCCGGCAGACCATCATGAGTGAGAACAAATCCCAAGTAGTCGATGCCCGGTTTTTGGCACGATGCGTTCATGTGCGGGAGTCAAGATTGAAGCTTGACATGGGCATGCGCTAAGTTAATACTGGGGTGCTTGCGAACGTACTGTGATCTGTCCTCTCTGTACTGTGATCGGACCAACAGCCG